TATTTAATTAAAAAACTCTTAGACAATAGAAAAAACCGTTAAAGATTAAAGTAATAAACAAATCCTGTTTGACATTCTCTAAGCCAAGAGAACTCGTTGAGAACTGATCTCAAGAATCCGTTAGAGTTGTTAGAATAGTCCCGTGCTCGTTTGGGAACAGCTAGTTATTTTTTTATGGCGTGTACATGCCAGCTCACAAGGATAACGTATTTCCTTAACAATAAGAGGAAGGGTTGCACCATGCAATCGGAAGCATCATCCCTTTGCAACTCTTCTTATACTCTGCACTTCTTCACCTCGAGAGATGCACGATCGCCCCATATCGGAATAATACCATGCGCGGATAATAAGCATAAAAAAGGGGTTGTTACCCACACACACATACACATACAGGGTGAGATCCAGAAGCCCAGAGTTCGATAATGATTTACGAGTGTGAATTTATGCGCCTGCTATACAAATCGTAGTTAAATCTGGAGCGCACAATTTGAATGCCGTTCATAATCTATCATGTCACGTCTTAGGGGATGAAATAATGTTCACTTGATCGCGTTTGTGATTGAATACAACTATGTCATTCAAAGTGTGAGAATATTTTCGATTATTTATTTAGTTGTTTGTGGCGAATATTTTTGTTATTGATTTTTATGCTTGCAGCCCAACAACGTGAGTAATTATTAATGAAGTGTCATGAGATCGTTATTTGTTTTACGATGCTATGCCCATCCCCCCGAAAGGATGCGAGGAGGGTGAATCTCGCGTAAAATATTTTCGCCTGCAAGCATCAGCGTTTTGCGCGTGGCGCCTGCTGTGCGTAGTTTGCTTAAAACCACCCACAACCCCATCCCTCGGCGTTTCATCCGAAACCCCACACCACCCTCTAAATTCGTACTGACCAGCGTCCGGTCGAAGGGCGCTCCTTGCACAATGGCAAGCGACTTTGGCAACCAAGTTTCGGTTTTGATATTAATGACCAGCGAAGTGGTCTTTGTGCGTCTGAGCTTGACCGGCAGGAGCGGGAGGGTGGTGGTCGCTTGATGGATGACCTCCGAAGACCTCGCGGACGGATTATACGCACACGCTGTTATAAAGATGACAATTTAATTAAAGCCTCCCACCATCAGCCGACCATGTCCTTATTTTTGACAGCTCCATTTTGACATCCGCACATCTTTACTGGTAATGATTATTTTAATTAGATTATAGACATGTCATAAGTTACAAGGGCTGGGAGAGATTTTTTGTGAAAGGTCACAGATCAAGACTTGACCACTGATCTGTTGACCTGTCAACCCACAGTCAGCACGCCAAATGTAGTCAGCGCGCGGTTCCATACTACACCTTTGTGTATAGAAATAAAAAAAAAAGTGAATGCCAAGGGTGAAGGGATGGTAGGGTGCACGTTGCTTCCAAGGGTGCAGACGGACATACATCTTCCGGCATAAAGAGAGCATGTCTACAAGGTTTCAGAAACTTTAGAGAACCCGAAGTCTTTAGAGAATGAAGGATTGGGCAAAAGGGGGAAGTTTAGAAGAATGCTAGAAAGCTACTAGGTGAATAAAAGGGTTATAGTTGTGTGTGGATTTAAAATTTTCAATTTTCAACTTTCGCATTGTTCGGAAAATACTAATTGCAATTAGTGATTTTGGTCGAAATCAAAGTGTCGGAAGTCTCATTCAACTTGGTACTCGTTGTACACTAAGACAAGGGCTTAGTGTAGAACCAAGGACTTAATTTTAGCCTTCTTGTCCTGTTGTCGTCCCGACGCGCATAGTTCCTCCGAAATTATTCCCCGCGCGCTGTCGCCGAGATGAGGAAGAAGAAGTAAAAGTTAATATTGCTTCTTCCTCGTTCGGCGTTCGTTGTGTTGCGCTTTGTTGGCGGCGCGGACACGAAGTTGATTTTCGCGCTGCTGCCACTGCCGCTGGTACATTAGCCGCGGCGCGCTTTAATAATTAAAAGCGCCAAAAAGCGCCGAGTGACATTTCGAAAGTTTCGCCGCTCGCTTTAATAATACACGCGCGCACGCTGCCGGAGAGAAGGTTTGGTGCGCGCCGCGCGAAAAGTGGAAAAACCCTTTCACGTCGGCGTCGCTCGGGCGTCGTGAGACGTCATCTGATTAAATTAGAAAATCAAGTGGCCGTTTAGGGCGCGCTCGGGAGAAAAAAAATCAGCCGTGCAAGCGCGAGAATTATTCCATCGGGTTGTGCGAGCTTGATTTGAAAGCGCGCCAGGGGGGGAAAGGAAAACTACGCTCCTTTCCGACGTAATGTATTGCCGATTGCTTACGCTCGGGACGAAATAAATGCGTGTGCGTCGATGGACGGATTGCGAATTGGTTATCAGTAATATCAGCACTTTCACTTTCAAAAAAGCAACCAAGGTAGACGCGTAACCCTGCAATACTAATCCTCAGCATAGGTAACTTTAAAAGTTTTCGTATACCAGAACAACAGCGTGGTTTTAAATTTATTGGTTCGGGTATTGCAGGGTTAAGAACTTTGTGTTTCGAAAAGAAAGTGAGTGAAGTCCGACGGTAATTTCCATGAAATCAATCAAGTGCGCGAAGCGGCGTGCACATTTGAAATTCGGACACGCGGGCCGGCGGCTGTGCGGGGGCGGCGGGCGGTGGGCAGTTCCATTATTCATACTCGGGTGCGTGAGATGCTTCGCTAGCTCGAAACGACCGGACGCCAAAGAGGGGAGCGAGGACGCTGGCCTGCACCCACACACACACTCACCCAGCCTGGAGGAGCAGCTGGGCGGCGGTGGTGGCGGCGGCAGCGGGGGAGACTTTAAAGTGCGAGTGCGTAGCGCGCGCGGCGCTGTAAAGTATAGCCGGTGGTCAGTTTTTCTTCGTGGGGGGCGCGACGCGTGCGTCCGACGGAGACGAAGGCAAGACGCGCGCGCGTGGCCATCCGCCGCCGCCGCCGTCCACCCCGCACACACACCACCGACGTGCGCTGGCCGAGGGAGAGAATTCTACATTAGGTTATCCAATATTCCACTCTGGCGGGCGAGCGCTCCAGGCATGCAAATGAAGTTAGCGCGCGCTCGCACACCGCCTCCTTCACCGCCGCCCCCGCTCACTTCGCGTGCGCGCAGGGGGAGGCGGTGTGCGTTTCGCCAAGGCTCGCGTCCAGCGCCTGCTTAGGTGATGTCGAAGGACCGAGGGCGGCTTTGAGGGAAGCTGTGCGCGGGAGGCGGCGGGTGGCGGCGGGTGAGGGAACGCACTTCCTGTGCGTACGCACACACATTTGCGTGCGATGCGTGAGCACACACGAGACTCTCTGTTCTGGCCGCCACCGTGGAGCTATTGATTAAAGACGGCCGCGGTCCAGCGGGTAATTACCCCCTTATCTCTCACCCCCTTCGCTGGCGAACGCGCGCGCAAGGGTGTTACACTTAGATAAGGGGTTGCTAAATGCGTTCCGCTCGCATGTTTATGCGGCTTACGTCGTTCGGACACTAGCCGTACACATATAGGGGATGAGGGTGGAAAACTCGCGTAAATAACTCCAAAGATATTTTAAAATCTCTTTTATTTCAACCTTCAAGTGACCTTTTAACTTTAAAACGTGTTTTGCTTGCGCAAATTCACAAATTTCAACTGCAAGTAACGGAAAATATGAGTCCCCGTACGTTACGTCTAATTTATGTCCGTAATTAGGGTGGTTTCTTAAGGGGTGCGCACGCGGCTTTCAATTAAATCCGGCGCGGCCGAACGCAACTCCCCGAACGCCGGCCGAAAGCCAAAACTAACGCGTGTGCACACACAGCATCCGGCAAAATCGAATAAAACAAATATCGCCAGAGCACCGGCAGCAGCGACCGCCCGCCACCGAAACTATTACAACGGTACACGGTACACGAATGGTAAGCATGCGTTGGTGTGTAACAAAGTAAAGTATGAGGTGGCGCAAGGGGTAGTTTAGAGCAGCGGCGCGAGTTTACTACACGTGCACGATTAATATCTTCCGCCGCTATGAGTTACAGCCCTCGAAAGCGGCGAGAGTTTTTATCGTGCATCGTGTGTGCACAATTTGCGCGGACCGCAATCATAAATATACTTCGCATTCGTATTCTTGGCGACGCATAAAAGTTACACGCGCGCAATGGCTAAATAGGCAACCAACTTAACACGCCGCGCTAGGCCACCAATCAAACAATGTGTACAATGCACGCGACTTCTTTTACACGCTGCTCTCGTGCTTAGTCTATGCGCATATGTATTAACTGTTGTCTAGTTTAGCGGCTGCCGGTGTATAAATAATAAGAACTGTAAGAATTTATCTCTTTTTGCGTCTCTCGCGCAAAGTGTGAGAAATTTATGGACGGGATTAATTTAGGGGACGCTTCGTTTGCTGCATGCGCGCGCGCGGCGCGTTTTTGCCGGCTAAGTTTATGTCAGGCCGTCTGTTCCGCCGCCTCCGAAGCCAGCAGCAGCATGTGTGTGAGTGTGTACGAGTGGACGTGCGCTGCATCTGAGGGCCGCGACCGCCGCCGTCGCTTCTTCGACGCAAGGAGGTGTGTTTCGGAGATGTGTGTAACTGCGTACGGTGTGTTTGGTCAGTCCCCGGGTGATTCATTTCACTTTGTGAAATTATAAATGTAAATGTAAAGCGGGCACATTAACATTTCAAGTGCAAAGAAAATTAATCTGGCAGAAAAATAAATTTATGTATGTTTTATATTAATATTTTAAGTCGTCTACGATTTATTATCATAAAATTATTTCATTTTTTATGATAAACACATAAAAGAATCATGTTTTGTTGGTTGCCTAGCGTATGACGAGTTTTTGTAATGTTGGTTGCCTATGTTTTTTGTTCTCATCTACCTAATAACTTAATAGTTTAATGAGTCCATTATGACTATCTGTTATTATAGCACGATGAATATTAAATCGCTGGAGGCCTAGCTCAGGAGTCCTCCCCAAGTTGGAAAATTCTTGGATACTCTGCGCGATAGTTTGCTAAGACGCACGCGGGTCAACTCACCTAAGAAGCGCCGCCGGCCTGTAATCTCTGCTCGTGATTGAAGCGGGGGATGTGTGATATGCTGAAACAACAACGGTCAAAGTCAACCAAAGTCACTCTTCTGAGAAAGGGATCAAAACTTGAATACTTGAATACATTTATCGCCACAATCATTTTATATAATAAAAAAAGTGTATAATACTTAGTATAATCTTTGGTGCGCCTGCGTAGTGAGTTTAATTTTAAATTTTAGACGTGTGTATGTGTATGGGGGTTAATGAAATTGTGGGCGGCCACCTGATCTATGCGAAAGGGCCTTTATGTGCCTCGCGTAACGACGTGACGCACGTATGCGTGCGCGGGTGGCAGTTTAAGATGAGGGGCGGGCAGCGGACGGCCGAAGGGGGTGAGCGCGCGCGCGGGTGGTGTGAGTGCGTGTCAGCACACACACCCTCAGATCAATACCTCGGGGCAGCGGCAGCCGGCCGCCGGACCCGAGCGAGCCTACTTTACATCTTCCCCGTCGCCCGCCACCGCCCCCCTCGCAGACTCTCCACATCGCCGTCGAGGCGTGCTTCCTTCTTCTTCTTCATCCTCTCGCACTGCCTACCAAACGCACACTGCCACACACACGCGGTAGTGATAGTAGTTGTAACAAAGTAGAGTTGAGGTTATGTTATCTCGTATGTAGATGAGAAGAAGAAGGAGAGGCGCAAGTCGATGGCGTCGGGTGTATATTGGGTTGCGTACTCACGCAGGATAGGACTTTACAAAATAAATCACTGCAATTGTATACCAAACAAAAATTGAAGAAGAAAAATTTTGTAGTTTTTATAACCTATAAAAATTGAAGAAAATTTTGTATAGAATTTAAAGTAAATCTAGTCCTGGTTGCAAAGAACAAGCAACAAGGAACAGGGAACGAATACTCTCTGTGCACACAGATGCGGCCGTCGTCCAAGCTGGGGTGGACTGAACGCACGTGTTGTCCAGTCCAGTCCAGAGCGCCAAGGACTCGCGCTGTGTGTGCACAGCGGTGCGTTCCTTCGCGTTCGCCCCTCTTTCCTGCCGCAAGTGTCCTTTCGCTGCGCGCCGGACAAGAGGGTGAGAGACCAGCGCTCGCTTCCTTCCTCCGCGGCTCTTCGTCTCTCGCAGCTCGCATCTTTGTACAATGTTCGCAAGCGTTCGCAAGCATTTGCTACTCGTTTAAAACACACATACAGGGTGTTCAAAACCTTTCAATCTCCAAAAAATTAAACTAATAATAAAATAATTTTAAAAATTTTAATTTTTTAAATTCTATCACAGATTTATAAGATTTAATTTTGTTTTGTGTGAAATTTTTGGGTGTAATTTGATGACTCTGTGTTTATTTTTAGTAAGCGCTACTGACGGCTTGAATAGCTAGTCGCGGTGGTTGCTGGTCTCTGGACATTCTCTCAAGCGACAATTTATTACTTATACATACAAATTCCGGCGAGTGGGCTGGACACTCTAACGACTTTATACCCGGTGAGCAATTGCCAGAAACTACCCTCGCGCGCGTGCCACCCCATGAATATGCTTATCGCAGCCACGCCGTAGCAAGGTCCAGAAACTCGCCCGGCCACCCACTCGGGCCAAAACGCCATGGCAATGCGTCTTCGTGGATGTACTACGCCGCGAGTAAGAGTATGTAGATTGGGGCGATGCGTGGATGAAAAACTTGCGAGGACCTAAAATAACTTTACGTTCCTAGGCGTCGAAACTAGATATTATTAAATTTTCAATTCTTCGTATGTTGTATGTTGGGTTGCATAACTTGAAAAGAAAATACAACTCAACAACAGTGTGCTTGATAAGCGCATGAAAAGCAAAAGTTATAGTCATTTCTTTTAATTAAAACAATTAGCTATTATTAAAGGCAAACAAGCACCCCGAACACTTTTCAACCCTCGCTCGAAGAGAAAAAAGAAAAACAAAAACGCGCGGCGTGCCGCTTGGAAAACGCGGAAACGAGAAAAAGAAAAGTTTTCATATGCAAATTTTCGGCGTTGCCAACGCGCTTCCATACACACCCTGCGAGATAGGGTTAGGGTGTGAGAGCAGGGCGAGGAGAAACTCGGACTCCAGCGACGACGACGATGATGATGATGATGAAGGGAACGTGGAATGGGGTAGTAGTGGCCGAACGCCGCTCTCGCCAAAACTCACCCCCGAGCGAGTTAATGGTGTACGTGTGCCGGGCTTGTATTTATCTCAACGCAACTGTACTACATGTAGGTACCTATGTGTGTGTGTGTGTTAAAGTGTGCGCGAGTAGTGATCTGTAAGACGTGACAATGGTCGAGCCATAAATTAAACTTTAGCGGTAGTGGCCGGCAGGGTGGACACGCAGATAAGGCTGCCATATATCAGCGCCCACCGCCGCTGCCGCCGTCGTCGGCGTCGCGAGAGGGATGCAAATGGTTTCGGAGGTGGCTGGGTGGATTACACGGCGTTGTGGGGAAATAGGGGCGGCAGCGCCAGCGGGGGTGGTGGTGGTGGTGGTAGAGGAAGGAGCGCGTGCTTCTTCGTTGTGCGGCTGGACCATGCTCGCGCTTGCTCACGTGCGTGCCCGCACATGCTCCCAAGATAGCCGCCCCCCTTGGCACCCACCCCATCTAGGACTGACTAATGTGCAGATTTGCATCTCTCGGCCCCCACGGCTAACTACTGCTGTGTGTACATACGCAAACGCAAACATCGAAGTATCGAAAATTCCTCGCTCCCGTTTTGTTTTTGGTTTTGCGGAAACTTTCAACACACTGTATAAATTAATTTAAGGAAAATTCCTTTACTTCATTCTTATTAAATTAAATTATTAAACTAAAACAATCAAAAACACAATGTTTGAATATTTAAATTTTAAAATTTTAAAGAATGTCTTATCTCGTTATCTCTCCACCCTAGCGGTTTGACAATCCCTCTATTTTCTTCTAACCACCGCCGATTTTGCCTTAGGGTGGCATTACTAGCAACCAGCATCCTGTGTCCGTTCCCCTTTATTTCAAGTCCGGCTTTCAAATAGATAGCGGAAGTCTGCGACACGTAACGACATGCATGATTTCTGCGCTCTCCTTCCGCTTTCGGGGGGTGGGATGTTTTGGTACTTGCCACCCACCTCATACCACTACTACTACTTCAATAAACGCCACTTTACACACACATATATACACATAAACACATAGAAACGTAAAGTCTACGCGGGGTGTGAAGGGATGAAGGAAATCAAGTGCGCCCGGGCGGCCCACTCTACCGCCCCTTTGGGCTTGTCACGTCCACTTTATTACATGCATTATTTATGTCATCAGGCATATATATCGGACGAGCCTAATCAGGAATAAAGCGAGGTGATATAAATTTTATCACTACATAACCTCAAATCTTATTTTTTAAGTGTGTTTTGGGTTTAAATTGATATTAGAATTGTTTCCGTGTAATAAAACTTTCAAGTGTTTTTTAAACTCTTGATTAATTCGAACAAATTCGAATTTGATTTGAAAAGTGTCAATGTAATCAGGGGGTAGATTTTTTATTTTGACGTACGACGAATACAGTCAATCACACATTCATTTAGCATCGGAGTAGATAGCTAAACCAAACATCGAGTACATCGTCAACGTCAACATCAACAATGCGTTTCAATCCACGACTTTTCCACCCCTTTTAAAACCGAAACGCTGTTTTTTCCAATCGCACTCTCCCTAAATTCCCATTGATACACGTCAATCAACATTGTAGATGTTTAAATTGAACACTAAACAAACAACATAACCTTGAATAAATATAGACGTGTATTTTGGGTTGCCTATGTTGTTGTTTTTTTTTTCTTTCGGAGATTTGAAAGATCTAACGAACTATGAGTTGGGTATATTTTGCTAGGTGCGTTTGTTAAAGGGGTTGAGTGGCACTGCCACCGCCACCCCCGCTGTTGCTGCTGTAAGCTTTTGTGCATAAGAACAGTCAGTTAATTATTAATTTGTGCTGCGGCTGTCACGTACAGCCTGTGGGCGAGCGCGGCCCCGATCGTGGCCGCGGGGATGTAAATCTTAATTTGCGAATGTGGAGCGACCCCCGCTCCGACCCCCGCACGCCCCCCGTATGACGACCGGCCGGTGTACACACAGTGAAGTACGTGCGCGACACCAACACTCATACTTACACACCCACACGAATGAGAGTAGGTAAAGAGTGAGGTTATGTGCGTGCGTGTGCGCTAAGCTCGTAAGTTGCGGGCACGCCGCCGCCCCGGGGCGCTGCGTACCTTACAGTTTCGCGTTCGTTCGTTCGGCCGCGCGGGGCTGTTTAGTATGTGAAGCGTGTAAGATGCCCAAGGCGCGCATTTGCCGTCCAGGGCCTCACTTAAACACCTCCCAACCACGCACACGAACGTCTACCACCTCCCAAAAACCACCCCCATATGCGCCGACGGCGGCTACCTTCAAATTAAAATTCGGAGATTGACGAAAATTGCTGATGAATTCGTAGTTTGTAGTTTCGTATTTAATTAAAGTGCGCAAAGTCAAAAGGGACAGGACGTAATAAACCTACATGTATGCGTTGTAGATATATAAGGGGGTAGTAGTGGTCCACGCACACAGGTCGTAAAACTCTAGAAATTGCGTCTCATCGTCATGACAAACCCACACCACCACGCGTGGTGCAAAGAAAAATATCGGAGGGACGTAAAACAGAAAGCGCGTGCTTTTTGATTTAATAACGGCATTGAGAATTCGGAATATAAATAAAAAAGGGTGCAAGGCCTAGCGGATGGTTGTTTTTTCGTTGATTAAATCAAATATTCCTGTCTTTTCTGCTAAATTTTATAAAATCGGGCGCTGGGGGTGGAAAAACGCGTATGTGTGCTCTAGCTGAGCATCTAGGCAAGCAAAAAGCGGCGAATGATAAAAATACGACTGCGATATTTTCGCATGCCACCCCTCATAGATGGTGAATAACGCAAAGGGGGTGAGAGAGGGGGTTTTGCGTCCAGTCGTGTGTGTTGCACACACGCGTGCTGACTTTCACTTGTTCCACCACAATTCCAAAATGCAGCTTGAA